CGGGCAAGTCACTTCACCTTGTGGTTTCTTCATCTGTAAAATGAGCTGGAGAAGGAAATGGCAAACCACTGCAGTATGTTTGCCAAGAAAACTCCTAATGGGGTCACAAAGAGTCAGATACGACTGAACAACAGCAAACAGCCATATTCTTGTTTGTGTATATTTGTCTCCTCCGTTAGACCATGGGCTCCTCCCTCCGCAGCACTTAGCACAGTGCCTAGCACAAAGTAGGTACCTAATAAAGGCTTATTGATTGCTCTTTCATTGAGGGGTCAGGTGCCTGCCCCTAGCCTGGTACCCCTCTATCCTGGGCCTTGGCCTTGATTGTAGTAGAGAGAGAAAAGGAGAAAGGAAGGGGGTGTGGAGCGAGATAGCCACTGAATAAATAATGTCTGGTGAGTTGTGCATGGGTCATAAAGCCTATTGAGGTTGGGGTTAGCTCCTCTGGGATTGCCAGTCCTCTTAGATCTTGACTCACCCAAGTTCACCCTGTCAACCAACCAAGAGGACAGTGGGTCCTTCCCTGGGCAGAAGGCTTGTTTTTTAGTAAATTAAACCTCTTAACCAATCACCCTGATCTGGGGTGGTAATAGATAGTAGTTTAGGGTTCAGTGGACATGAGACCCTTGAAGAATCCTGGCAAGAGGGAATGAGTCCTTCCTTGGTTTCCTTTCTCAAGGAATTGGGCCAATCCTCAGATCTGAATTCACATTCTTCCAGTTTGGAAGGGGTCCTCCTGCCCCGACCTCCTTTCCAGGTATCAATGAATGAATGAAAAAAAGAAGGAAAAAGCATTTATTAAGTACTTGCTGTGTGTTAAGGGGCAGTGCTCAGGATACTGTTGGGGAATTCCTTAGCCTAGAGATCCTAAAATCCTCCCGGAGAGGCATTCCTCACCTGAAGGTTAGTAGATGAATAGTCTAATTAGTATCTTCTGATGGGCAGTTGCTAGGCGGCTAGCTACTTCAGAGAACAGGATATAGCATACTTTGATGGGTCTGTACACAGCTTTGTGTACAAACAGCCTTCAGAATTTTACATGACAGAAGTGTCCTCGGCTCTCAGGTGAGCCTGCTCTGCTTTTTTCCTGATTTTGGAGGTAAGTAGGAACAGGTTGTTAAGTCATTGGGGGTGGGGTGGGGAGGGAAGAGAACATTTTACCTTTGGAGTAAACCACAAGCAGGTCTGTTCTTGTCGAGGTGTTTCCTCCTAGTTAATCTCCTCACACTGTCTTGGTGGGGTCAGAGGTCTTGATTTCATCTCCTCAGAGAATATAGATGGGACTGCAGAGGAGGCCAGCAAAGCCCTGCAAGCTTCGTGTCTTTGACCTCCAGGGTTAGGATTTCTGGGGAGATGTCTCCCCCAAACTCACAGCGTACAGGATTTGTACATTTCCTCCACAATACAAATACAAGTGTAAAGCCTTCCAGGAGTTTATTGACATTTTAATGAAGAAGATAATACATAAGGAACAGTGGCCGGGAAGGGGCACTTTGGGCCAGAAAATTATTGGGATGAGTGGGCATGGGGGAGTGGTTATCACCCCCTCTTGGGACAGTGGCAGCATTGGTTTGATCTTGGTTCATGGAGCTTCCTTCTAATTGATTAGTAGAACTTCCTTCTAGCAGAAGTATCCCGGCAAATGCCCTTGGGTGGCTTCCTTAGACCTGAGATCTTTAAGCCCTGAATGCCCTTTCTCTGGAAGAAAGAAACAAACCTATTCCAACTTGGCTGAGGAGCTGGCTGGCTGTGCAAACATTTGCCTTTGCTTCTGCCCCGTGGGGCAGTCTTTTTCCCTGACTTTTTGCCCCTGTTCCCTGGGGGAGAAGGACTGTCCAGCTGCTGAGACTTAATGCCCCTAAGTCACATTGGACATTGAGTTTGGCAATGGGGTGGAGGGATAGGGAAGCTTGTCACCAGAGGAAACCCGGCTGCTCTTGCCTTGGTTCCAAAATTAAGTCCAAACTGGAAGCAAAAAGGGGCAGTTACCTGCTACTGCCTTCTAGGGTCTTAAAGGCCCTGATAGACTTGTATTGTTTGACTTCTTGACTCTGGGAAATTCCCAGAGGCCACTACTAGGCTGGGCCTGCTCCTGGCCATCAAGGAGATGGTGCTCAGCATTTGTCCAAAATTCCTGGATGACCCGCTTGCCCAGTTGAGAAACACATTGGAGGGTGACCGATCTCACTTGTAATGCTCCTGGTGTAGCCTCTTCTGAGAAACTGAGGTGCCCAGAAAGGATGGGATTTACCTGTCTTTCAGATTTCTAGGAAGCCTGGTAGCCTGGCCCCACACTTGCCCCTCCCCCCAAGCCTGGTGCCTGCCAAGCATAGTATTTGTAGGAGTTCTCCCCCGTTCTGTCCAGGGCAGCACTTAGCCTAGTGCCTGCCACATAGTAAGTAATTCATTAATAAACGCTTGTTGATTAATAGATGAAGGAGTAGCTTCAGAGAGAGCTTGGGAGGGGAGGGCCATGCTTCTCAGACTTGGAAAAAGCGGTCGGGAGGGTCATTTAGTAGATCTGAGCACCAAGCAAGCATGGCTCAAAGCGTCTGAATAGAGGAGTTTGTTCGGGGCCTCTGAAGCCCTGAGGTCTGTACCAGGTCAGCAGAAAGATTTGTGTGTGTGCTGGGAGGCCAGAAGGTGGGGAGGCTGCGTGTTTGCCTGTGAAGGAGTGTTGCTCCCTCTAGTGGCAGCAGTTGTGACTGCAGGGCCCTCTCAGGTCATCTGGCCAAGAGCAGGCAAAATCATCTTATCCATCCCTCTGGGAAAGATAGCCTCAGAGAGGGGGAAATGACTCATCTGAAGTCATACCAGGAGTTTAATAGCAGGGAATCCCAGGACCAGAACAGAAGCCTCCCGGCTAGCTGATAAAGGAGACGTACTGGGTAGGGTCAAGGTTGCTACTTGCTGCAAGCGTAAGGTAGAGCCCAGAAGCAAGGGTGGCAGGCCTTGGTAAGAGACTGGGTATCAGGGCAAAGTATAGGCAAGTTGGAGCTAAGACCAAGGTTAAGGGAGACTTGGCCGTGGGGGAGGACAGTTTAGGGCAAGGGTGGGCAACCTGCAACCTCGAGGCCACATGTGGCCCTCTAGGTCCTCAAGTGTGGCCATTTGAGTGAATCCAGACTTCACAGAACAAATCCTTTTATTAAGGGGATAGCGCGTAGACGGCTCTATTACAGGCCATCTGGGGGAAGACACCTGTAAATAGTTGAAAAACCTGGGCTCTGGTGGATGTAAGTAGTGAGGTCTGGACCTCTGTGCCCTGCCCAGGATAGTTAAGAGTTTGATCTCGCCATGGCAGCAAAGAACAGGAAATAGAGGGTACGGTTGCGGGGGGGGGGATGCAGAGCAGCCCCCAAAAATAGGAGCCTGGAGGAATAGTTGGGGAGGATTGAAGACTGTTCCATGTCATGGGAGGCCTTGGAGTGGAAATGAGGTGACTTGTTAGGAATGTTAGAGGAGATCCCTGTTCCAAAGTCCCTTCACGCTTTGAGATTTTGTGAAGTAGGCAGATGAGATCCTTAATGCTGGGGACGGGAGACCTAGTAAAGTAGCCTGCCTCACCTGGAAGTCTCTTGACTTTGGCCCTGGGATGATCTGGGTGAAGCTGGGAGTAGGTGTCAGGAGACAGAAGGTGAACCAAAGAACAGAAAGCATGGGGGAAAAGAGAATGATCTCAGGTTTATCCCAAAAGAGGAGATGAAACATGGATTGTCAATTAGAAAGGACAATGGAGCTGAGTCACACCATCTGCCCATCAGAGAGGAAAGAGTTGGAAGTGAGGGTGAAATTGGGGACATGAAAGAAGAAAAAAATGAGGAGTCCTGGAGAACCCAACCTGAAGGGCTTGGTGCCCGAGAGAAATCTTTCTGGGAGCTGAAGAAAGACCTAAATTTTAGGGGGTTCTCAGACTTTAAACTGGTAATCCTTGGTCTGAACGGATGGCTTTGTTTTGAGACCCTTCCTTCCCACCTCCATCCGGGGCGATGGACACTGTCATTGTTTCCTGCCTGGTGCTACCAGCTTGCCTTGCCTTTTCCTGGATGCCAGCCTGGGCTGTGTCTGTCTCCAGAGTGCCTGGATTCTGTTTCCTCCTCAATCTCTCCTTTTCCTATAGTGCTCAGAGGACAAGCCACTGGCTACATATAAAGCATTCTGAACTCCTTAAAGGAGATTGGGAGTCGGGGGGTTGAGGGGGGCAGTGTGAGTCATTCTCTGGGTCGTTGGTTGGCACAAGTATATTACCCCGTCTGCAAGCCTGTCTGTTGCCTTGGGGTGGCAGCAGAGTGACATCACACCTGGACTGTTGTCAAGAAGGAAGAGCTGGAGAGGTCGGCCCCTGCCTGTTTCCGAGGCCTCCTCCCCTCCCTCATCATTCGTGCTTTGTGCCCTCTCTGATTTGACTCTCGATGTTATGTGCCCACATGTAATACAAGGCCAGAATGGTGTCCAGGTTGGGGAAGCAGTTGCCTCTTTACTGATGCTGGGAAATCAGGATAGTTTCCTCATCTATAAACTGGGGTTAGAGGCAGCTGGTTGGCACAGTGGATAGAGCCCTAGGCCTGGAATCAAGAAGACTTGAGTTCAGATCTGACCTCATATGCTTAACTAATTGTATAACCCTGGGCAAGTTGCTAAACCTCTCTCTGCCCCGGTTTACTCAGCTGTAAAATGGGGGGTATTAATAGCAGCTACCTGCAAGTTGTTGTGAGGGTCCAATGAGAGAATATTTATAAAGCACCTAGTACGGTCCTTGGCACAAAGCATGCTTAATAAATGCATGCTTCCTTCCTCACTGGGTTGTGAGGAGTGAAAGATCACATATAAATCACAATATACATGTCTGTTATTATTATGATTACCGTTACAGCCGCCCGTTTGAGTTTGTGATTCTGTTCATCTCTTTGTCAGTTACTGTGGCCTTCCCATCTATGACTAGGAGCCCCCCACCCGGAATACCAGCCCTGATGCCTTGTTTGTTTTCCACCTCTCCACAGGTTCCTCCGGAGAAGTGCCGCTATGCCGTGGGCAGCATCCTGAGTGAGGGTGAAGAGTCACCATCCCCGGAGCTCATCCGCCTCTACCAGAAGTTTGGCTTCAAGATCTTCTCATTCCCAGCCCCCAGCCATGTGGTGACAGCCGTCTTCCCCTACACCACATCACTCTCCATCCATCTGGCTGCCCACAGGGTGCATCCTGCCCTGGACACCTATATTAAGGTGAGGCCTTTATTTCTCTCTCTGGCCCTGTGTTGCCAGGCTTGAGACTTTACACACATAGTGGCAGGCCGGGGGTAAGTTTGAGGGAACAAGGTTGCCATATGAAAAACTTAGATGAGGGGCAGCTAAGTGGCACAGTTGTATAGAGCACTAGCCCCAGAGTCAGGAGGACTTGAGTTCAAATCCAGCCTCAAGACATTTGACACTTACTAGCTGCATCATCCTAGGCAAGTCACTTAATCCCACTGCCTAGCAAAAAAAGAAACCCAAAACTTAAGCGAGGAGAGTTATCCCTTCCACCCTTTGCTCTTAGCTGCTGACAGATTATAGTGCTGGCATCCTGGGTTTGGGGCAGCTAGGTGGTGCACTGCATAGAGTGCCTGGTCTGGAGTCAGGAAGATTAGTCTTCCTGAGTTAAATCCAGCCCTAGTGACCCTGGACAAGTCACTTAACCTTGTTTGCCTCAGTTTCCTCATCTGTAAAATGAGCTGGAGAAGGAAATGGCAAAGCACTCCAGTATCTTTGCCAAGAAAACCCCAAAAGGGGTCACAAAGAGTCACACATGACTGAACAACAAAAACCTTGGGGTGGGGGTTGGGAGTGCTGAATGAACCCTGTGGGGGTGGGACCTCCAGCCTTCACACTGGGAGAGTAAGGGTCAAACAAGGGTCTCAGTAGGCAGTAGTATCATCTCAATGGAAAGGATCACCCTGGTTCCCTGGCATCCTGCACATATTGGGACCCCGTCAGCTCCTATGGATCCTGCCTTCTCCATTGGCCGCAAGGCCATTTTCCCTTCCCAAACAGGCAGATCCATCTGAGGTTAAGGAGATCGCTGGACCAAAGAGAGTGATCCTCCCCAAGAGGGCAGCCTTTAAAGTTCTCTTCTCCCTGCCAGCCCATCCAAAAGCCAGCGTCTGTGTGGGGTGTCAGCCCCTGACCCTGGAAGCTCCAGCCACTCTGAAGTCAGCACTTGGGGCAGGCATAGGGATTGTCAGCTTCACCTTCTCTTTTCTCCCTAGTTATTTTTGTGACCTGGGTGGCATGATTCCTGGGTTTAGCTTAGAAGGAGTGAGTAGCAAAAACCCAAATGGCCTTTGGGGATAGTAGAGGTGGACCAGCCTAGAAATGTCGAGAGTCCAGGTCATTGGACTACAGAGGGACGGTCATTGTAGCCATTGAGGGTAGGGCTGGGGACAGAGTGTGAGTGGATAATGGAGTAGGGGAGAGGCAATTTGATGGGTAAGCCAGGGCTTCATCTAAGTATCAGGTTTTTAAAGCATTATTTTTACATGCATTTATTATTTCTCCCTCTCAGTGCCCCTCTCCCTGGAACAATGCAGTTCAAACCAGGCCGAAAAATAAAACCCTCACAACAATTATGCATAGTCCTGCAAAACAAATTCTCGCTTTGGCCATCTCCCCAAACTCTGCATTTTTAAATCCATCCTTTCTGGCAGGAGAAGGTGGTGTACTTCATCAGTGGTTTAGCATTGCACTGATCAGAGTTCTAGAATCTTTCAGAGATGTTTTCCTCTGTATTATTGTCATTGTATAAATTGTTTTCCTAGTTTTGTTTACTCTGTATCAGATCGTAGAGAGGTCTGAAATGGCTCATTTCTGTCATTTCTTATGGCACAATAATGTTCCAGCAGTCAGTAGTCAGCATTTATTAAGTACTGAGGAGACGAATTTGGGGGGTGGAGGGGAGGGCAGGGAGGAGAAGGTACTTGACCAGACTTGGTGAAGAAGTCAGAGAGAGATGCCAGAGTAGTTCAGCCAGTTGAGAAATGAGGAAATGTCTGAGCTGGGATTTTTCCTTAGATGAAGGTTTGGAGTTCATGGCCTCACCCTTGAATCAGAAGGCCAGAGGGTGGGGATGAGGTGGAGTCCCAAGGCTGATGAGATCTTACAGGGTGAAGAGGTTATCCCAAGAAGGAGCTTCCTGGGGCATGGTGGGAAGTCAGCCAGGTCCCCCCATAATATTCCGTCACACCCACACACCCCAGTTGGGTTAGCCATCCCCAGTAGATAGATGCTACCTTAATTTTCAGTTTGGGGCTGCCAACGCAAAGGGCTGCTATAAATTTTTTTGTCCACATAGGTCCTTTTCCTCTTTCTTTTATCTCTTTGGAATATAGGCCTTTGTTGTTGTTCAGTCATTTCAGTCATGTCCGACTCTCCACGATCTCATTTGGGGTTTTCTTGGCAAAGAAACTGGAGTGGTTTGCCATTTCCTTCTCCAGTTCATTTTACAGATGAGGCACTGAGGTACACAGGATTATGTGACTTGCCCAGGATCACACAGCTAGGAAGTGTCTGAGCCTCAGGTCCTCCTGACTCCTGAGCTGCCCTCTCCCTGCTGCGGCACCTAGCTGCCCCAAGTATAGGCCTAGTGGGGGAATAGCTGGGTCAAAGGATATATACTTTAATCGCTTTGGGGGCATAGCTTCAAAGTGCTTTCCAGAATGACTGGACCAATTTCGTCCTCACTAGCAGTGTATGGATGTTCCTGGTTATCCCAAAGCCCCTCCAACATTGTCATCTTCCTCTTCTATCATCTTTGCTGACATAATGGTGTGAGGTGAAACCTCAGAGTATACCATCGGATATTTAGCAGAAAGCAGTTTAGAATGTCTTCTGGAGAGTGGAAGGCGGCCGTTGGTATAGGTCTACTCTTGTGACAATCCAGAGGAGCCAGTTTGTCCTTGGGGTGCTGGCCTCTTGAGATAACTAGTTTTGAGCAGCCTTAGCTGTTGGTATCGTGGTTTGGTATCAGCCAGGAGAGGGAGCATGGAAGACAGGCTGACCAGGGAGGCTGCCTCCCTTATGTATCACCAGAAATTCACATAGCAGACCCTTTCCCTTCGGCCAGTACCTGAGGGCCCAAGTTTAAATTCACATTGATAAAAAAAAAAAATTCACATTGATAGCCCTTTGTCATCACCCCGAGCTGGACAAAAGGTATTTGTCTGTGTTTTCTTTCCTCCATTCTCAGTGCTCCTTAGACCCTTCTCTAAGGGTGGCGGGGCCGGGCTGGTAGAAAGGGGGTTCCCCGGCACTCCCCTCTGCCCTGACCCAGTGATGCTGTACTTGCTTACAGGTCACCTCTGGTGCTGGAGCTTTACGGGCAGTTCTCACACCTAGACCCACTCCCAGCCAGGGCCTTTTCTATGTATGCTGCATATATGAAGGGCCAGTCTTCTGTCTGGCAGAAGAAAGTTGCTTTGAGAGTGCAGGCCTTGTGTGAAAATGCCTTAGAAATGGAAGTGTGTCCAAGCACCAAAGCCTTTCCCTGGATTCTAGCATCTGGTATTTTAGGTACTGATATCACTTCTTTGAAAACTTTTACTCCCTTCCCCCCCCCCACAAGGGAGCCCCAGGCCCCCTGGGGTGAGAAGGCCCCACTGGAGATGGAAAAGGATATAAGATATAGGTAGCCCTGATCCTCAAGTTACAGGGGTCTCAGCCTCCCATGGTCTGCGGGCATGAATTAGGGTATCTCAGAGAGGGTGTGAGTTTTCCCACTGACCAGTTAGGGTCGTTCTGATCCTCCACAGAGCTAGCCAGCCGCCCAGAGGGAAGCTTGCTTGCACCCTTCCCCTCTTCTGCCTCCTTGGGACAAGGTGGGAGCCTCTGATCCAGGAACCCCACAGGAGGCATTGGTGTAAGTGGGACTGAAATCCAAGGTCCTTGAGCGTTTCTGTCCCTGCTGTTTGTGAAAGGACAGCCGCTGGAGGCAGAGCTGTAGGAGTCTGTGGAGATAGACCAGGAAGACAGGTTCCCGTCCCTGCCCCCTCCCTCTCTGGAACCCCCACTGTGGAAACAGGGAAAGGAGCGCACTAATGAGGCTCTGGGCACTTTGGAGTCTGCTGCTCCTTTGGTTCTGCCTGGCTGTGCACCCCCCGTATACGCATGCCTTCTCTCTGGGCCACCAGCACCATCGTGCCTTCTTGATCTCAGAACGCAGAGATGCTGATGAGCTTGCCATGGCTTGACAGCAGCCTGCCAGTTTTCCATTTCAAAAGGGAGTAACAGTCTGGGGGAGTCCTGTTAAGTGGAGAAAAGAGAGGAGAGAAAAGAAGAGTGAGGAGGAGGTGGGGGGAATAGTCCTGACAGTGGATAGAAGGAGCTAAGGGACGGGGGCAGGGGGACAGCAACTGTCCCTTGGGAGAGTGTTTGGGCCTGTAATCCCCCTGGGCTTGGCTGGGAGCAGCCTGGCTATCTAGGAAAGAACCCTAGCCATCCCTGGAAAGATCCCTAAAGCGCTGCATTTATTCATCTCAAGAGCCCAGTAGCTGGGATGATCAGGCCGGTTCCCAGTTTGTGGGGCCCCCGGCCCCAGTCCTCACCAGGCTTCTTCCCTACGTGGCTCCCCAGGAAGCTGGGGCCCTTCTTGTGTCTTCAGGCTCTTTAGGAGCCTCCTTCCAAATAAGCCCATGAGTACTTGAGGGGTGAAACACCTTGTCTGCCGGGTGAGGGAAGATGGGCGTCATTCTGCTCCTGGTCGGGAAGGAGCACTAGCTCCGGTCCTGACCGCTCTCTGCTCCCCTGTGCATCCTCCTTCTCAGCCTCCGTGGCCCGCTTCCTGGTTCCAGGTCCTGGTCGTAGGACCTGGCATCTCTTCTCTGCCTCAGAACAAAGGCACCTCTGAGGACTCAGGACTTAGCACAGGTGCCCCTTCTGGAAAACCTTTCCATCCTGCTGTCTCTCCTCAAGCCATCCAGTACTTAATGCCTATTTATAAGCTGTTATCTTCTAATAGATTGTAAGTGCCTTCTGAGCAGACTGTTTGTTACTTTGGGCTTTTTATCTGATCTTTGCATATAATGAGGGCTTAGTGAATTCTGGCTTGTTAAATGAAGAGGAAATAGGCAGCAGAGATACCCCAGAAGAGAGAGGCATGGCCTGCTTCTCCTGACCTGGTCTCACGCCTAGTCCTCCCTCCCAACGATTGCTTGTTCTCAGAGGTGAATCCAGAGCAGTCCATGTCATGCCCC